ACCAGCTCCCCCAACCACTCCGTGCACTAATCAGAGGTCTTCCCATAGTTGCTGCTCAGGGGTTTGGGTTAAAAAAAAAAAAATAGAGAGAGAAATTGGAAAGAAACGGACTATATTTCCAACTTCACACTGTTTCCTTTAATATGGCCAGTTTGTAATTATATATTTACTTATCTTTCTCCGTATTGACTGCTCTCCCTTCCCTCAAGCTATAAGCCTCATAAAGGCTGGAAAACGTGTCTGCTTTGTTGACCAAGGTATGCCTGATGCTGGCCAGAGTAAACATGTTTAATGAATCTCTGTGGAATATAGGAGTGAATGTAGAGGAGAAGGAGCTTATTCAGGGTGGATTTTCATTTACCCTAAAGAAGTGAAATGAAAGCAAACTTTGGTGGTTTTGTTTAACTGTGGGCAAATTGGTATGGACTGAGAAATTCAATTAACTGTATTCATCAATTTTTGTTTCTGGGCTAGAATCATGAGACTAAGACCCGGAATTCTTGGTCCCACCTCTTTTGTGGCATTAAAAACAAAAAATAAAAACAAAAAACCAAGCCCAAACCTTGGCATATTACACCACCCAGATTTTTTTCTTTGTCTCAAAGAAGGCTCAGCTGAACAGTAGATTCCTCACCCAGCACAACAATCACAAACTCCGAAAACCTCAGCTGCCCCAGATGATGTCACAAAACCCTTAAGAATGCTCACTGCTGAGTTGGGCACAGGTCCAGCAAACACAATTCTTCCTGCCAGTTATTCAGGGTCTTTGACAGATTAGGTGGTCTTTTTTTCTTCTTCTGCTTCTTCTTCTTTTTTTTTTTTTTTTCCAACCTCTTAAAAGGCAGTTCAGTTTACCTCTAAGCAAGACATTAGCTCTGGCTGCCCCAAATAACATTTTAATTGAAGTCTCAGTCCAAACAAATGCCCAGCCTCTTTATTAACCCCAACAGTGTAATTTTTCAACCTAAGACTGATTCAGGGGAAACTGTCTCACTTAAACTGCTACGCAATGGGACATGGCAGTTTTCCTCAACCAGTCTCTTTTCTGACCTTGATTTGAACCTTAATCTCTTCTAACGATGTTTTCTTTATTAGCTGCTCACAGCCGTGGCACAAGACTAATTTTCCTGTTTTTAGACTATCAGTTTACAGAGGTATTTCACTCCCCCTTTTGCCCCCAAGAGTCACCAAGATTTCATGGACCTCTTTGGGAAAGGGAAGGGAATACCTATGTTTCACATTTGTTGTTGTGGTGGTTTTTTAAATTTAGTAATTTAAATAGCTGCTTTGCAAAATGTTCTATAGAATTTTAGATTGTATTTTTGAGGTACATTGAAGTTTAGGTACAAAGAAACCATATTCTGAATTGTCAGAAAAACCTAAAAAAAAAAAAACCAACTCTTTTAAATTATTTCAAAAGATCTTTCATCAATAGCCTGGTCCACACTCATAAAATGAAAACTAAGGCTATTATCTGAATAATTCAGACAAAAACAATATGTTTTTATTAGAGACCTCTAATCTTTTAGGGGAGATCTGAATTATCCAGATAATTGCTGCAATTCCTTCCTTCGTTTTAAATGCTTAAACATAATCACTGAGTAATGACAGAGAAAATCATTTTTCTTCATTATACCTTCCCATTTTTTGACATTGGTAAAATGATCCAAATTAAAAAAAAAAGTGCACCCTTTTCAATAACAATGAAAAAAAATGTGTTTCTCTATTTGGTGTATACCTTAATATAGCAGAACTATGTAGGTAGAAAAACAGTGCTTGTGATCATGTGCTCAATTAGATTTATTATAGGTTTTTGTACTTTTTGGCATTAGTGTGAAAGCATATTGGTTATTATTTTTTTATAACCTAATTGGAGGCTTTGTATCTAGTTACCCCTCTGTTCTCAGCTTAATACAATAGTTTATTGATTGCAAAAATTACATTTCTGTGACTTTAAAGTCCTAGAACTAGGATTGCCATTGAAAGTTGGGGATTTAGCCTGGTGTTTGGAGGGCAGCGACCATGTGCCCTCTGGGTGTGAGGAGGTAGGCAGCTGGGAACAGTTGTCTGTCCCCTGCGGTGTTCAGTGGTACTCGCAGCATGTTGGCATGATAAACTTTGCCTCCATTTCACTGGTTCAAACAACTAGTGGGATTGAATCAGAGTTCTCCTAGATCATAGTTTATTATATGTTATTAAATTCCATTATTCAAGAAGTTGCTGCTATGATTATAAAACTTCCCAACATATCCTGCAAAGCTCTCATCTCCATTCCTGGTGCATTTCCTTTTACGTTGATCTTTTGCTTCTCTGATGGGCAAGTTTTGTTCTGTTTTTTTTTTTTTTTTCTTTTTCGTTCCCCTTGGTACTTATTTAAAGAGCTAAGAGCTAATTTGAAAATACGTCTACGAAAGGACAACAGAAATGAGATGTGAAAAAAACTGGATGAAGATTCTTAATTAGTCCATTATTTGACACGCACGATTTAACATGGTATGCTTAGCATTGTGCATTCCCCAAAAGAACAAGGCTCTTTTTTTTTTTATCCCAAACTTTAGCTCCCTCTCATTCATTATATCCCTTCTTGTCACTTTCCATTAGCTGATCATGACATCCTTTGCTGGAAGGGCGAGCAAGCAGATTACTTCCAAACTGGTGTAAGTGACACTCAAAAGACTGGCCTAAAGGGGGTTCTGTGGCAGCAACAAGCTCCTCAGCCCCTGGAGCTGGAGAATGTCATTTCAATAATATATTGGAGTCCGTTGTCACATCATTTCTGTAGCAACTTGGCAACTTCCCAGAAGTGGCAGGAATAGGTCTTCTACCGTGATGGAATCTGATATTATCACTGTCGCTGACAATAGTAATAATACAATAGTATAGTATAATAATATAATTAATAATAATAATTAACATTATTAATAGTATATACTACTAGGAATAGATAGTAATATTATTATTAATAGTATAGTATAATAATAAATAATTATTATTATTTTTATTATGTACTGAGCCAATCTAATCCTTCTAACTAGCATCTTGCATTTTACAGATGAGGAAACTGAGGACTGAAGTGGTTAAATACATTGTCCATGGTCACACAGCTGATAAATAGCCGAGCTAGGGTTTTAATTGAGGTCTGGCAGACCCCCAGCTATGCCTCTTTCTGTTAAAGCAGGTTATGCATAACACACCAACTTTTAGGAAACTTCACCGTGTCTCCCTAATTTTGTTGCAATTGAAAACTAACCTGTCACCAGGCCCTTTGAGTGGAGGTGGGGATGACTGAATGAGGCAGCCAGGGATCAAACACACATGATCAGATGGTGCTAAGGAAAGAAGTGCAGGATCTGATGCTCTGATCAGCTCAGCACTAGTGAGGCGAACTGCTCCCAGCTCATCATCCCTGCCACCCCACCCCACCCCACCAGCCCTCTCCTACTCTCAAAGGTCCAACCTTGGGAATCATCCTCAGCCTTGGAACGGCATTGGCCTGGGAAGAGCTGAATGGTTGCTGATAAGAGGTGTGTCCCAGTCACAGACAGCAATGAAATCTGATCTGAACAGCACTGGGACCAGTTCTGGCTGCCACTCAGACCCTCATGCCAGCTTCCGGCCTCATAAGCTCCTCTGTTCCTGAAAACACAAGTTTTCTTCATTAACCAAATTTTAGATTCTTTCCTTCACATGAAGCACGTTTTAGCTTCTTTTCCCAGGAATCTTTGAAATATTTTGATCTTAAAGTAAAGAATAGGGAAATACAAAGCAATACGTTAAGTAAAAGTTGCCTGTTATTTGACTACCAGGAGAAAATTCATAGTCCCATGATATGTATCTTTTCTGTTCAGGCTGTACATATAGGCTAGGCTTTAGGTAAAACATGGTGGTTGTAGGATGGACTCTGAAACCGGACCACCCAGCTTTAAATGTAGATGCTGCCACCAGCAGTGTGACCTAACCTCTCAGGATCCCAGTTTTCTCATATGTAAAGTACTTCCCTCCGAGAGCTATTGTGACGATGATCTCATGCGCGTGACATAGCTGGCCCATGGCAATCACCTCCTGCATCTAGTTACTGGTACATAGGCGCTGGTCCGTGATCTTGTCTTACTCGCTGTTTCTGACCATGCTCCAGCCTCCTTGAATCCAAGCCCATATTTAACTTCATCTTCAGCCATGATTCCGTCCCTTCTCCGTCCATGTGGTGTGATCAGCTTCCCCCTTGCACCTCACCGGTGATTTTCCAGGTCTCAGCTCCTGCCCATTTAGCCATAACTCTTATGTAAGCGCCGCCAGCATCTTCTATCCACGCCTGCGTGATGGATGCATTCCTGCCTGGATGCGTTGCTCGCCCTGCCTGAAACCAAGGCAAAGCCTGAGCGTAGCCCTCCTTGTTCTTAGCCGGCTGGAAGGCCTTGGAGGGAGTGCAGGTGGAAGCAATAGCCTGAGTTTGTGATCGTAAAGACAGCAGCAGCATCAGCCCACAGTTTGGGGGCTTCTGGAATGAAGAACTAGCTTCCAGATATATAGATGTATGCAATACCGAAGCAAGTGTATTTGTTTAAATCACTTTACATGTAAAAGATGAAGGTAGTTATGAATGATCTTTTAAAAATCTTCTCTTTGAAAGCCCTCTGTTGTCAAGGCCACACTCCCAATCATCTCTGTACCTCTGAGAAGGGGGAAAATATGTACATATGTATGTATATGTTAACTGGGGGGAGTGTGTGTGCTGGGAGAGCGGCCGGCCAGTGGCAGGAATGGGGAAGAGAGACTTATATTAAATGAAACTGGAAATTCACGTGGACCTTTCAGACGTAAAAAAAAAAAAAAAAAAAATTGTTGATTTTACATGCCAAAGTCTTGAAAGGAGCTTGACGGCTCACGGCTTTGGTGTATTTTTCCAGATGGCAGATGCCATTTTGTGTTTTGCATAAACTGACTAAATTTGCTTGCTCTTTGTACTTATTTCAGAGGCAACCATTCTTTGCTTTCAATAGGACAGAAGAGCTCCTTGGCACTGGAACCCTCCTGGTCTGGGGAGGGAGGGATGAGGGATGCTCTGAGGACACACAGCCATCATCCCAAACTTCCTACATTCGGATGGAGGAAAGAGGTTGCACCAGAGCTTCGGATCCATGTTGCCTAAGGGATGATTCAGACTGTGTGAACGAGTCACAGAAGGTGAGCTATGCTGAAAAACTTTCCAAAGCTATCTTTCCAGTTTGCCCATTCTTATCTCCATGGTAGACAAATAGGTTTGTGACGCTCTTAATTCAAGTCCTCTACATCTTGCTAATTGCTGGTTGTGTGATCCTGAAACTTAATTCCTCTGTACTTAAGTTCCAGCCAAAAAAAAGAGAATAGTAATAAAATAAAATTAGGATGATAGGAATAAGTAATACTCCTCTCTTAGGATTGTGTGAAGATTCCATGAGTTAGTTAATCCACGTAAAGGATTTACAACAGTGCTTGGCATCCAGGAAGTGTTCAAGAAATGTTGGTAGTTATTATTGTTATGATTCATTTCTGTGGAAATTTGCATTTTTTCCCCTTATTTTCTGAGGATAGACCTGCTCTCCTCCCAATGTCATTATGCCAACTCTTTGGGTTCTTTATGTGGAAATAGACTGGTAATAGAGTGGCTCAGCTGTCGGCTTTGCAGTCAAACAGAATCAAGTTGAAGTTCCTGAAGTAACAATCAATAGCTTTAGCTCCTCAAGAGTGACTTCATTTCTCCAACCCTCAGTTTCTTCATCTATAAAATAGGGATGATAATAATCTTACCTGCTCTGTAACATTTTTGAGAAGATTAAATGTCAGAGTGCTTGCACAATATCTGGCAAGGATGTAAAGCATGCTGGTATTGTTATTATTGTTGCTCCCCCAAATATAGCGCTCTTAGACTCAGAAGTGCCTCAAGGAGCTTGTCAGGGCTCCAGGGCTTTAGCTTCATGTCAGCTTCCTCACCAGAAAAGAGAGCACACACAGAAATAGAAAGATGCTGTGAGGCTATGGCTTTACAGGGACTCTGCCAAACACAGAATTGAGAGAGTCAGGTCTTGCTCAACATGGATTCCAATTAACGTTAGAAAACTCAAATTTCTCAGCAGGCCAATCCCCACTCATTACATTGGAGATGATTCCAAAGCACTAAGGAACTTCGGCCTTAGTTTTCTGTCCTAAGTACCCCCAAAGTCAAGTGTAGAGTCAGGTAGGCTGTGAGGGAGCACGAGTGACCAGGGCTGGTCACCTCTCATGGAGGAATCTGGCATTTGTACATCATAAATATTTAAATTTCACATTTTCAAAAACGCTTATTTTTTTCTTCAAACCAAAAATGGATAAAAGCTGCATCCGTGAGTGAAAGAAGCCCCTCTCTAATCATGTTATCGAACAGTTGAAAACTGTGTGGATCACGTTCGTCGTTTTCACCCAGCAATGAAGAGTAGTCTCTATTAATAACTGAATAAAGAGAAAAAAATGAGCACCTGAAACTTTTGCCCCAAAGCTAGCACGGACCCTGAAAAAAAAAAACCCCAAGGAACATGGAACAAAGAAGTAGGAAAAGCATCACCAACCTCGCAGATAATTCTGTTTGCTGTTAGATCTTTCTGACCGCCCCTTTCTGCCTCCCTGTCACTTCCCACAGTGGGAATAAGTTGGGACTTGAGTCGGGAGAAAAGGCCCAGCAATGACATCCTTTCTCAATTCAGACCAGATGACAGTCCCATCTCTTTCTCTTGCCTCATGCTTAGAAATTTCTCAGAGAGTAGAATGCTACAGATTCATTATCTTTAACAGTAAAGTAAGAGGGGAAAGGAAGAGCAAACAAAAGACAAAAGAGAGAAAGTACTTGTCAAAAGGGAAAGGGAAGAGGAGTTGGAGAGAGCACAGAGCTGTATTATGAAGGTGGGGGAAAGAAAGGATACAACAGCAAAAACAGAAAGGAACTTCACAGTGCGCTGACAGAGGTGGCTAGCTGGCCAATGAAGATGCATCCTCCCCTTCTGCCCTATGGAGTTGTTTCTGGAATGCAAATGTTCAGCAGGAGATGACATTTCCCAGTCTCTCTTGAAGTGATACGGGACCATGGGACTGGTTCCTATCAGCGGAATATGAGCTGAAGTTAAGAAATGTGTGTCACTTTGGGGCTCAGTTAAGACTGCAGGTAGCTTCTCTATTCTCTCTCTGTCTGCCCATCTTCTGGTTAGATAATGCCTTGATGTCATCCATATAGAAGACGTAGAGCCATTACGTGGAAAGAATGTGGATTCCTGAATCACTGCTTGGAGAAGAGCAGCCCAGATCAGCTGCCCAACCAGGAATATCCACGTTAGGTTTTCTGTGAGTGAGAAATAAATGTTTGTATGTTTAGCTCCTGAGCTTTTGGGGATTGTTTGTTTTACCAGCAAACATTACTTACCTTGACTAATCTAGAAATTGATACCAGAAGGGAGCTCTAGAAGCAGTTACTTTTTCTTTTTACCTTTGCTAAAAAAAAGAAACCACAAAAAAACAGTTCATTATTTCCTGATATCCTCTTATTCTTCTATTATGTTGTCCAAAGCAGCCAATAACAACCAACACATGCTATTTTTCACCTACAAGCTCAAGAGTCATGTGGTCTGACTTTCAAGTTACTAAAAGCAGCAGTTTTGCCAAGTATTTTTCCACTGCATGATATGGATCTCCAGCCATGCAGACTAACATATCTGCTTCTAACAACTTGACCACAGAGTCAATGCCACACATTTTAGGGTTTTGTTACGGGACACCGTATCTGGTACAAACTATTACAGGCGAGTTTAGTCAGAAAAATAGAAGCCTCTTGTGGCAAGTGCAGTGGAATGTGTTCACCAAATGATTTCTCTTCCCTGGGCCCTTGGGAAGATCATAATGTCCTCTCCCTTGCAATTTAATTGAGGCCATAGGACCAATTCTTTGTAACGGAGCATAAACAAAAGCACTGTGCCACCTTTGTCCAGGGAGCTAAGAGTGCTTGTATGTTTCCTGTTTCTTTCTCATCCACTTCCACTGGCTCTTGAAGGGTGTGTGTTCCAGATGATATAGTTACAAGATAGAAACTACTCCGCTTACAACCGGAACAAGAAATGACCTGTGTTTTGTTATACTATCAGGGTTTGGGGGTGTTTATTACTGAAACATACCTATCACATTCTGACTGTACTCAAAGTATTTCATCAGGGAGGAATTCAGTATAAGGAGGTGGAGGAATACAAAACCAGAATCACTGGGAGCCAGGAATGAAGGTCAAGGATGTTGTTGCTAACTTTCAGGAGATCTGAAGTGAAAGCATCAGCAGGACGTCAGGTTGCCACCGATGGTCTCAGCTGCCTACAGCACCAATGGGGGTGAGGCCTAGGAGGATGACATGTAGCCCCATGTCTGCTTTCTGCCAGTGTCCACACACCTGCTTGTAGCTACTGATAGAGAAAAAGGGCTTTTTTCCATTCACCTTCTAATGATTGCAAGAGCGTCTCTCAGTGGCAAGTAGGATGAAGAACCCTACTGCCAAAGGAGCCTGGGAATATAGTTGTCAGGTTTTCGGCCCTTATGGGACAGAGAGGAGCTTAGAAGGACAAAGATGGTGCTTATTGAGTTTCAACAAAAAAATGTCAGGTACAAATGCTCCTTGTCCTTCCCAGAGGAAATCCAAGTGGTCATCCTTCCATACCCCAGTTTCTCTTGATTCTTGAGGGCAGATCTTAATCAATTCTTTATTCCCCAATGCCAGACTATACCAGACAAAAAACTGTTGTGAATTGATTTGGATGGAATGACAAAGGAATCAATATAGCAAATAAGAAAGCTGTCCCCATGTATTTAAGTTAGATTTCAAGGGTCCTGTTCATGGAATCTGATGATTCTCTCTAATGGCTGCCCTAGTTTCTTCCCCAGCTTAAGCAATTTTCCTTCCCAGTCTGCTCAGAGTGACCATGTATAGAGCTGTTTGCTCAATAAGTGACCTTAAGCTTGAGCTCTGGATTGTCCACACAGCCAAAAAGAGGAGAATTTGATAATGATCCGGGTTATTGAATCCATAGAGACTGCCAATAATGCATATCTTAATGCAGTTTAAAACAAACGTGTGTGTGTGTGTATGTGTGTGTGTGTGTGTATATATATATATATATATATACACATTATCAAGTTGGTTGTGTAGAGTTAGTCAAAGTATTTCTATATTTTATTCATTTGGCTCTGAACATGGCTTTTGTGCTTTGGCAGAGCTGGGCTATCTTTGGGAATGTGGGGTTTATGAGTTCACATTAGGGCAGGGTGGGGAGTATTGTGTAAGTGATGAGGGGCGGGTAGACTTGGGTGTTAGAAAGGACCTGTTCAGCAATAAGAAAGGGACACGCAGGAAAGGGAGGGCCAGACCCTGGTGTGGTCTCATCTAGAAAGGCACAAAGTTAAAACCCTGTAGAAGATTAAAGACATCCTCTTGATATTTATTTTCCTCATCAAAAAAGGGTAAGACTATTGTGCCTATGGTAAAAATAATAGTAGAATGACTCAGACTTATTTACAACCATCAAAGAAATGAAAGATATGGATCATGTCACTAATTAATCTTTTTATCATTATAAAGTGGTAACCATATCCAGCTGCAGTATTGTGTGCATAATAACACAATTATGGGGGATGTGATGATGTATCAGCTGCTAGTGCCCAGTATTTAGCCTCTCTTTTCCATTCCCACCCACCCTGATCTCTGGCTATATTTAGTTGTTTTACACAGTGTACCTAGACCAAAGTCTATTTTACAAAATTAAAAGAATAGAGAGAAGAGTTAGAGTCTTCATAGAAAAACCAGGCTCCACAAAATCTATTTCCCTTGGTTATCCATGTTCCTTCTTGGTAAATATATTTTCTCCTACTTTGCACCTAGACTCATGGATGGAACACAATCATGAGTTTATTTTGTGTAAAGGGAAGTAGAGCATTGAGCAATCATCTAATGAATGCAGTCAAGATGGTTAGTGAATCTGGAAAATTCCACTCTCAGAAAAAAATTACTTTCTCTACTCTGTAGCAGATTTCCTCTTGGCCTTAATTATCCACAGAGTTGTCCAATTTTCTGATAGTCTTTACCATTGTTGACATCACCTTAATAATTTATTTAATGGATTTCATTGGGTTCATTTGGGAACCCTTTATTCTAAGTGGCTGCTTTTATAAATTATTCAATAAGCATTGAACACTATTCCAGTCATCTGTTGCTGTGTAATAATCTACTCCAAAACCTAGTGACTTAATGCAACGATTTATTATTATCACTCTTGGTTCTTAAGGTCAATGGGTTCTGCTGCACAGTTCTTACTTGGTGTCCCTCATATGGTTGCAGTCTAATGGTAGTTGATGCTGGAGCCAGCTAAAGGTTTCCTGATTCATAGGTCTGACATGGGGCTAGTCAGGAATCTTTTTCTCTCCACATAGTTACCTTGGGCTTCCTCAGAGCCTGCTGGTCTGTTGGTAATCAGTCTTCTTACCTTGTGACCAGCTTCCTCCAGCACAAGTGCTCTAAAACCCACATACAAGTGGCAAAGCCTCTTAAGACCTAGCCTTAGAAGTCATGCAGGTCACTTCTTCTGTGTTTTGTTTGTCAAAGCAGTCACCAGCCAACCCAGATTCCAGGAGTTGGAGAAATAGAGTCCATCTCACAGGAGGGGAATGGTTTGTGCATTTGAGGAAGAAAAGAAATGATGGTGGTCATCTTAATGACAAGCTACCGGAAGTACCTACCATGTGGCAGGCACTGTGATAGGTACTGGGGAAATGTGTTGGACTAAACAGACACAGTCTCTGCCCTGTGGAGATTAAAATCCATCTTAACTTTAGTTTGACTTGACAGTTTCCACAATCCACTGCTGAGCGGTAAATCTCAATACCCAGTGTAGGTGGCTATTAAACTGGTAAGCAGTAGTAGGATAATTTGGGGTCTGTCATTTTGACTTCCTCAATAATCAAAGTGAATGAAATTTGTGATTATCTGATCCAGAGCTTGGTGATCCCTTTGATGAGCTGATCGATTCATGCATTCTTTGAAACATCTGAGCAAAACTAAGATATCGTCTGTTGCTTAACACGTTGAGTTTCTGCTGTGCATGGAGGCTGAAACTAACTTTTTAAACTTGTGATAGGGAATATAGAAGACACTGAAAAGCCAGATTTTGCTCCCGGTGAGCTTCCATTCCTTTTGGCAGTTTGATCATGAACAGGCGGAGCGACTTGGGACAATTACAATGCAACATGTGGAACCCAGAAAACGCAGGAGGAACTAGCCACGTGGTATCTTTCCATTTCCCTCTTGAAAATTACCTTTTGGAGAGAGATAAGTGACTATTTGCCTCAGTTTTCTTCTCTCTCATGTCATTAAAGGAAGGTGATCTAGGTTTGTTAAGTAAAAGGAGATTTCAGGACAGGAATGTTGACAGAAGAATTGGTGGTGTTCAGCAATCCTCAGGTCTTATCGTTTTTGGCATAGTTCACGTCCATTTCGTGGTAACAGCTCCGAGGGGCTGGGGGAGGGGGCTCGTGATGACACAAGAGATCCCTTGACATTTCAGAAACAAAGGTCAAAGCCTGAATAGGTCCCAGAGCAGGCAGAATTCCTGCACGCGCTTGTCAAGTTCCCTGCCATGAAGCTGGTATCATATTGTGCTTTCTTATGTCTGTGCATCTATGTTTTCTCACGTAGCATGAAAGACATTATAGGGGATATTTTAAGTAAAACAGCAACAATAAAAATAACACATACTTTGCCTTAATTACATAGGTGTTTCGAGCAAAACTGAATTTTGGCTTAGTTGTCATATGACAAGACTCCTCCATTAACTTTAACTTTGTAATTCATACTTCATGAGTATGGATACTTTTCTCACACTGGTGAATCTTGTGTCCCCTGGGTATCATTTGCTAAGTTAAACTTCTTTCCATTTCTCATGCCAATTTATTTATCTCTATGAAATGCCTGTCCCTCCTTCTCTGGAAATTCATAATAAATTTTAATTATACCCTTCTCTTCATTTGGCCAGTGCATACTTATTTGAAGTGTTTTGGGTTATGTTGCTGTTTGTGGCTGCTGATAGATATACCACTTCATAACTTTTCACGGGCTCCTGATTTGCCCACCTTTTTATCAGTTGTTAAACTGAATGGCAGGAGCTTCCCTATCCACGCAAATACATACGTCTGTATGCACACACATATGTGTTGTGTGTGTCTCCATACACACACAAGAGACATCTCCCGGCATGCTAATCCACATGCTCCATGCTCCACTTTCCTTTTGTTAAAATCAAGCAGCCTATTTTGTAATTACCTGATGAATTGGATCAATACACATGTCTAATGGATTACTCTGATTTTTAAAGCACTCCAACTACATATTCACAAAGATGAACATAACCTAAACGATTGCTCATCTTTTCTCTGGGAAAATTCTTTTCATGAATTCATGTAAACATAAGTACTTCAGCTACGTCAGTACCCGTGATTGATTGTTTGTGGCAAAGGGATTTTTTTTCCTCTTCAACGTGAGGCTACCAAGCCTTTGACGTTCCATGTCAGCTTAAGTGGGAGTTTATCAAGGTTTTTTTAAATTGGTCCTGAGGGGGCCATGAGCATGACTTGGAGGACTTATACTCTTCCTCTATAATGTCTAGCTAGCTCCCTGCTCTGACTCCCTAAATGACATACAATTTAAGTAGAAACTTGGGCTTGGCCTCAGGAAAAATCTCCTAGCATGTGTCATCCTCACTCTTGCCTTTTCTAACTAATTTGTGGTCCCTAAACCCTTTTTATATATAAAGTCTGGTGCTGCCACGGCCTATCTGCTAGGTAAGGGGCATCCCAACTTGTTTGATTTGGGGGCCACCAGGAAATGTTTTCTATACTTCAAATATCATAAATTATTTTGACATTCCTGATATTACATTAACATGAAATAAAGCTTTCTTCTCCTAATTAAGCATATGCTTAAAATGCAAATCCTGCTGGAAGCATTAATATAATGATGGGTCCTCATTCCCATAAGATGGTAATGACTGATGGCAGATCCTTTTTTTAAGAACAGGTTTTGATAAGGGCAAGGTGGTGATTGAATTTGGGACAGTGGTAGGTCACTGCATTCTTAAAGCAGTGTGTTCAGAAGTAGAATATTGATACCTCATGGAGAATCCCAAATGATCTTTTGAGGTGCAGAAAGAAGATATTAAATCTTCTGTTTATTTTATTTTAAAATTTCATCTTAGGTAAAGATTTTTTTTGGAGATATACATATATCTTTAAGTAAGCTCAAGGCCCAACGTGGAGCTTGAACTCATGACCCTAAGATCGAGAGTTGCATGTCCTATCAGCTGAGCCTGCCAGGTGCCCCAGGGTGTATGTATTTTTGATGTACAGTAATACACATGTAATTTATAAGGGAAAACACACAGATTGTATATACCTCAAATATTTTTGCTGCTAGAACTGTGTGATCTAGAAGTTTAGCAAGTACTCCTTACACAGGGTAAATGTGGGTAAGGCTTTCATGATGCTGCATGGAAGAACAGGAAATAGTTACAGAACAAGTTTGCAACCTCAGAATCCTGACTGCACTTATTACTGATTTCAGTTATTTGATCAATAGGGAGTTTACTAACTCTCAACCTGACGCCAGACAGTCCCTTTTAAGATGTCAAGAAATTGCTCAATTTTAGGATGTTGACCAAAGAAAGTAGATTTTCATCATGCTTTTTTTTTTTTTTTCCCCTATTTTGTTTTCTCAAGGGTCTCATGGGAACAGAAAGTTTTGAGAGAGTTTACTATTTGTGCAAGATGACTGGTTGGGTAAAGAAGTCCAAAGTTTATTATCTGCAGAACAAATAAAGCCCGGGCAAAGGTAACTGAAATGAATGTCTCCCACCTTGTCCCTTCAGCCTGTCTAAGGGGATGTTTGCGCCAATGATTGCGCAACCGAGAACATAATCTGTGTGTCAAATGGACAGAAGGTGCATTTTAGACTCCTACTGGTTAAAAATAGTCACTGACTTTTATTGCTCTTAGTTTGATAGGACGTTGAATGTGGTGTCTATGCAAAAAGCATATGAAATATCTGTGGATGAGATTATTTCTGAATACCCAGGTGTTGCTTCTCAGATAGCATCAGAGTAATTAGAATTTTTTTCTCCTTCTCCTCAAGTAGACACCACATAGCTCTTGGCAAATACTAAAATAAGTTTGCCAATTCATGGCTACTCTGGACTTTTCTGTTGGTGGTGAGTAATGACATCAAGGACCATTGGATTGTTTTGTGATGACTCCAAAGTAATTACAAGTATTCAGACTGGTCAAACATATAGTGTGGGGCTCAGCTAGTCCTTTAGAAGATAACTTCCAATGCATAAATGTTGATGGGACAGTGGGAAGTAACTGAATGGTTGAGGTTAGGAGCTTACTATCAGGGAAAAAAAAAAGAATAATGCTTTGGGTCTCAGAGGTCCTTATTGACCAGGTATTGACTGAGCCATTTCTCTTTATTTTGACTCTTTTTTGTTGTTGCTTTTGTGCAAACCTGAAGTTTATAAAGCCAATTAGAGAGGCATTTTATATGGGACAGTCACAAGTTGTGATAAGGAATGAGCCAGAAGCCAGTTATGGATAGAACCTAAGTAAATTAAAGAGTTGACCTCTGATTTTAAGCTTAGGGACTGGACAATTTTATAAACTTTCCCCAAGTATGTTTATCATCCAAGAATTACTATCTCAAGGAAATGTTTAAGGAAGAGTTTAAACATGAAGAACAAACCAATCAGTGTGAGAGACTGCCTAATTTTTGGATGGCTGAAGAAGTCCTAATTGATTTGATAATGTGTTGCATGAAATTCACCCAGAATTGTCTCTGTCCACGTGAGTATGTATGAATATACAGGTAGTTAAAACTAGTTAGTGTCCAGATTATCTGAATAACCATAAGTTTATGGCTATTATTGTTTAAAAAGAAAAACCCCATAATTTTCCAGTATGGAAAAGACAAATTCCAATTTCTAAACCTAAGCCCTGTATGACCTATGGTTTGGAATTTCACTCATGACCAGCTATTCACATGGAAAAACTAATTATGGTATAAATTTAGCTTAGACATTTGGAAGTACTTCTGTAGACTGAGACACTGAGCTGAGTTGTAAATGGGTTGGTAGTTTCTGGACTCTTTCAAAGCCCAGAGTAGACAATTCTCTTTCTGAGTCTGTAAATCTGTCGGTTTTCCCCCCGCCCCCCTGAAAATAATGACCTTCGGAGGGTCCATCAAGCTCTAGGATTTTGTCAGCCATCCATCCGGGGCTTACAACATTGCGTGTGAATTGTCTGCTCTGTCTTTAAGAGGAGCTACTTTCTGAGGCGCGTTGGTGACTGTGGGAATAGAGGTACACTGAGGTAATGTGAGCTACAGGAGTAGAGATGCTGGAAAGGTTTGTGATTCAAAAATGGGCTTTGGAACCTGCAGAGCCCATTAGATCGGTCAATGAATAATAATACAAACAATACTTAGAAACCCAAGAATATTATGGCATTTGTTGAAGAAGATGACCGAATGGAAGAGGGAAAAAGAAGAGAGAGCCAGAAGGACTGAGAAGGACAGGGATGAGAAAGCCCGAGCCTGAGCGCGTCTGAGGTGCACGGCTGGCGGGCTGCATGCTCAGAGGGCCTGGTTTTCCAATCTGGCACTGGGCTTGATGAGTCTGTTTATTCAGCTATGGTATCAGACATTCCCTTTTCCTGCCCGAAGAAGTCCCCTTTGAAGAACTGCTCTGCTGGGGAGTAGTTTCCCCTTGGACGCGTTGGTTACTCCTGTTTGCAGACCTAAAGGAAAAGAACTGGAAAGGCCACAAGAATGTTCTTTAAAGTGATATTCCAGCGCCACGTGAGGGGAGGATGAAATAGCTGTAAAAGATTTATTTCCTGGTTGAGGTATTTTTTTCCCCTCTCAAGTGAATGTAGCACTGAACAAAGGTGTCACATGAATGCAACAGGGGTCAAATGTTCTTGGGTACCTCCGGGTCTGTGTAGTGGGATGGGCGAGCACTGTGCCGAGCAGGAGCATTTCTAGCTTCTGGAGGCCTGGAGAGAGGGGGGAGCGCACCTGTGAGAGTCGGAGGGCATTCAGTGGCACCTGCAAGCGAGTCTTGCAAGTCTGTATCTGCAAAGCAATCACTGGTGGCGACTTATCAGACGTTCAAAGCAGGACAACAGAGAAAACTTGAGTGAACTGGGGGGACGACATTCATAACCAAATTGGGTAATTCAGACAATTTCCCTTGGGGGCTTGAATATTAATGTCTTACAGTTCAGTGGCACTTTTCCTTTTCAAAGAAGTTTTTCATCTAGCCCCCACGTTCGCCCTGTGAAGTAGCTCACGTAGGTGTCAGGATCCTGATTTTTTTCTCTTTGGAAAAGGATGTGGCCAAAGAAAAGGGAGATTGTTCCCTAGCTCGTCACTGACAGGGGCAGGATGACAACCCCGGTCTCCTGACTCCGGGACCAGGCCTCTTTGCTCTGTGGTCTTGCGACCTGTACAAAGTGACGATGGGAGTTTCAGAAAAAAGGAAGATGACATTCTCCATCTCCTCCCAGGCATGTGGAAAGTTGCTGTGACTTTGAAGCCAGTGCTTTGCTGTGTCCAAATTCTCTCTCCAGGACTGGCCTTAGGGAGGAGATTCAAAGTGAAACCTTCAGAGGGGGAAGTCTCATTCTAGTCACTGTGGCTGCCCATGCCTCTGGTGGATTTCTTCCATCTTTGCCTGGACCACATAAATCAGGAGCTCTCCAGAGTGAAAAGGGTTCTTTGTTCCATCTCTGAGATGAACCCTTTGGGTCAGAGATGCCACTCTACCGCGAGGCCTGGCTTTTCCAGAAGAGGGGATGGGACCCACACTCTCTGCCTGGTTCCTGGCCGAGACCCAATGACTCACGTTGACTCTGGGTCCTGGAGTTAAGTTTCATGCAGGAGGGGACACAGGGCGCCAGCCGTGCTTACTTGAGGAGTCAGAGCGAACCAGAATTTCCTTCCGGGGAATACAGATTTATGTATATCAGGGCTTGAGGGAGAAACTCAAAGAGGTGTCACCTACTTGCTGTCTTTTCTACTGTGACACACAGAGCCTTCTATTTTATCTATTTCTGGATGGTTGTCTTCTTTCTACATGTAGATCTGGTGTCGCTCCCCATTAAGCTCTATCTTGTCATTATTTGTTTCCTCTAAGACTTCCTGGTGCTTAAAATATCTGATGAATGAATGGGAAGCCATTTTCAGCCAACTGCCTATTCCGGTGCCTCTCGGCCTATAGTTCAAATCTGAATCACCAGGGAAACAGGCATGCGTACTTTGAAATACGTCTCAAGATGAAGCTCATGTGCACTAAAGTTTGAGGATTATTGTTTTATCCATTTCCTCCATCGCTTCGAGAGTTCTTGGTGACTGAACAATGCCATAAGCACAGTCTCAGATTTGTGTGATGTTTTCTGACTCACAAGGCTTTTTTCCCCATGTTGGTCTCATTTAATCCTCATGCAATGGGGCTAATTTAATAAGAGCCCTATGGTGGGGATCCCGGTTCCATTCACTTTACAGATGAGGAGACAGAAGAGTGATAGTCTTTGGATCACATCTGCAGTTCCTGGCAAAACCTGGGTTCATCCCCAGTCTTGTGATTCCAGGTACCATGCTCTTTTGCCCACAACATGTGGGCTTATACCCACATAGCTGGGGACGGCTATGGTGATATATATGGGAAGCCAGGAGAAGCCAACACTGTGTGTTTTCCTAATGAAGTCCATAGTAGGGGCAGTGGCGAAGAATAATAAGGAAGTGTCCTTTCATGCAGATGTTACGGTGTTACATTTTTGGTCAGTGTCAAATTGGAAAAGCAGAACGGGGACCTAGTGAGAGATGAAGGTTGTTCCAGAGAGGACAGCCTGGTTGTTGACCTGTGATTAGAATGTATTCTCCTGACTTCATTTAGCCAGGGATGGAGAAAGGGTGGGAAGCAGGTTGAGCCCCTTGGCCTTGCTCTGTGACCTGGAGTCCCCGGGATGATGAGGCCAGCTCCACTGAGGTTGGCTTTCTTAAGTATCTGTGAGGTTCACTGCTAGGGCCAAGCAAGACGATGAGGAAGTGGTATGGATATGCAGAATGCCATGAAGGTGAGTATGTCTCATCTCACTTAATTCAAAAGTTTCCGAATGCTCCAGAGTTCTAGGTAGCGGGTAGCCATACTTCAGTGACGATTTAATGGTTGCTAGAGTATTCTGAACAAAACTTTCTGGATGGCTGTTTACTCTTTGATTAGTTATACCATATAGACAGCCTTCAGAAATGGAGACTTGTCAACTAAAAGAAAAGGTGGGTCTGAAACTTCTGCTAAGCGCCCAATTCTCTCCTGCTTAGCTGGGTAAGGACCTCTTCTTTAATCATGGAGTAATAGATGATTGATATGACTGTACCCTGATTAGAAAAGGTTTCATTTTACTGGTGCATGGTACATGGAATTAGTTAAGGGTTGTATAGGAAAAGAAGTGATGGGCTATTGTTCACATTAAATTATAATGACAGCCTTCCTAACCACTGTGTATTTATTATGTAAGAAAAGAAAATGTCTAGTAAAATTCTGTATAGGTTAATAACACCTTCATAATATACTCCTTCTTTTCTATTGACTTGAATAGCCCTCCTACTGACTTCTAATGGATTATTAGAGTTAATTACATCAATTGCAATATAATTGATTCTTAAATACTATGTAGAAACCTCATACAATTATGGAAAAACAAAAGTTATCTAGACATCTCAGATCAAAAAAGATTTGGAATTCCTGCACATTTAATTTCTGATAATCACTAGTCAGTTTGGACATTAAGATTGCATGGTGTCCTGTTTTCTCTTT